AAAAAGGAAGATGCTGGTTGTTTAAACCACGGTGGTCATGACTGATCATCAAGGATCCTGCTTTTCCCTGATTAAAAAATTCCAAATTCCCTGATAAACCCCCCAAAATTCGTGATTAAAATGAAAGGCCCCTCACTACCCCCAACAGCCCCCTTGGCCCCGCTGGTGTCCCTCACTCTCCCCCCTTGCCCCCCCCAACCCTACTGATGCCCCCACCCCCTAACCACAGCTGCCAGGGCTGTGGGGCCAGCAGAAGGCAGCAGCTGCTGTAGTGGAGCGGAGCCTGGCTCCATCTGCCTGCTGTGGGCTTGGGCAGGTGGGCAGGCTCTCCACCACTGCGCACACTCCCAGGGGGACAGGGGGGACCTCTGCTCCACCACATCTGTGTGCAGGGCAGAGGCAGATCCCCTCTGCTGCCCTGGGAGTGTGTGCAGTGGTGGGGAGCCAAGCCCACCTCCCAGACTGGCTGCCCACATCCCCATCCTTCTTCCTGCTAGGGCCCTACAGCCACGTGTTGAAGCCCCAGGCCCTACACACCATGCACACCTGTCCGGGCAACAGCCCCAGCTCCAGCCCTGCCTAACTCCCTCCCTCCCTATGGGGACCTCAAACTCCACCCGGCCACCCCCACTTACTTGCGGGGGCTGCTCTCCAGGCTGCCTGATGGCCCACCCCCTTCCTGATGGCTCTCCTCTCACTCCGTCCCAGCCCCTTGCAGGCTGGAACTCTGCCAGCCTGCAGAGAGCTCTTTGCAAAACTGCAAAACTCTTCAGTTCTTCCACTAAAATTAAAAATCTGTGTTTTCCTCCGGTAAAGGGGGAAATCTGTGTTCTCCTCTGTTTTTCTATGGGAAACGGAAAACCCGGATCCTTGCTGTTCATACTCGTAGTACTGATTCAACTTTGCAGGTATTCCCTGGAACAGTTCTTGTCTCTACTGGTTTTCATGTTGACAGTTTGAAAGTTGTTTGTGATGTCATGTTTTCAACCCAATTTACCAAATCCATGAACTTGTTATGTACTCAGGTGGATTAAAGCCTACCAACTTTCAAACCACGTTAGAAGCTCTCTGAACCAGATTGCATTTTCAGCCACAAACTTAACTTGTCACCCTGTCTTAAGAGATCATGTAGTTTAAACATGCGCTGTGTGCCAGGTGTGATTTCAAGTCCTTGCACACAAATTGCTGATAGTACTTCATGTTCTTTGAATGGTAACGCACTGTGTTAAACCACAAATTCCACTTTGTAGACACTGACTGTGGTGGAAGCAACACAGTCGCATGTAGATCCTCGCTTTGATTGACAATGGACTCCCTGTACAGGCAACCCCCTTTTAACACTGTTTCGCTTAGCGCTTGTTTGCTTTAACGCTCATTTAAAATTGATGGCTGATTTCGCTTAGCACTCAGCAAGTTTTGTTATAACACTCGTGGTCGCCATCTTGAGTCATTAAAAACACTTATGGTTGTTATCTTGGGTCATCAATTACTTTCAGTTTCACTTAACGCTCGTTTCACTTAATGCTCGTTTTTTCAGGAACTAATTAAGAGCATTAAGCTGGGGTTACCTGTATTGAAGCTTATGGCCTGGACAGTGTTTGAACACATTTTAAAAAAGAGGAAACCAGGCTATCCACATCAGAAAAACCTGTGCACCAGATGTCACTTGCAATGCACACAACCTTTCTTTAGTAAGTGATGTACTCCATGGAATGATGCCCAATGCAATTCACATCGGAGGAAGCTTTGCACATAGACATTGTATTATCAAATAGAAATGGTGACGTGTTATTAAAATTTAAGCCATAGTTTACAACAGCCTTCACTACAGTTTGTGCCACAGTAGAAAAATTGACAGGCGCGAGGTAAATCAGCTCTGTTTGAAAAACAGGCAGGTCACGATCTGTCCAGCTCCCAGGTACAAATAAAATGTGCAGAACATGGTTATCTTGGACATCTGTTGCTTCATCTGCTACAATCGAGATTGATTCATACTCTGCCAATGCAGATTTTGTAGATGGAATGTGCAAAGCAGTTACTCCTGGTAGATAATCTTGGTGAAGCTTGTTTGCGCATAGGAAACTGCCAGCATTTGGCATGTGTTTGTTCAAGTAATTCTTTAATTTAAGGTTATCAATTTTCTCCAGAGGAATGTTGACGGTCGTGAATGCCTCCACTAGTGCAAATGTAGCCTCTCTTCTTGTGAAACTGCTTTAAGTGGTTCTTTTAAAGACCAAGGACATAATTGCTTGGTTCTTGCTCTGACCTTAAGTCTCTGCAGCAGCCTTTTGCTTTATATGCAGTTTGGACTCTAAATGCCGATCAGTGCTGTTTTTCCTTGACACATCCAGTCACGTTACAAATGAACAAGACAAATTTACCACCATCTGCATGCAAGGTTCCTATAGGGAACTGCCTTACACAATCCTAAGCTGAAATGTAGTTAGCTTTCTTGGATTTCTTTTCACTCCCCATCTTCACTGAATCTGGCTTCTTAGAAGATGATGCTGAAACCCTTTCAATTTCCTGACTGGTGCCTTCACCAAGTCTGTCACTAGCTCAGCCTCTCAGTAGTTCAGTCCAGTAAGCTTATATTTTTTTCAGGTGATTCCACACAAAATGGTAGGAAACACCATTTATCATGGTGACCATGGAAACTGCCATTTTTTGTAGTTTCTGTAAAAATCATGAAACCATGATTTAAGTAGGTCCCTACCCATACCTGAACAAAGAGGTAAGAGGGTACTGCTGTAGGAATGTCTGTTTAGGATAAAAAACACAATATTGAAACGCTGACTACTTGCAGTAATTAAAGTAGAGGTGCACAGTAGGGGTGTGCAAAATGGGCCCTATTTGATTTGGATTCAGATTCGACCCAAGTCGGGGACAGTGGTTCGATTTGTTGAATCGGATTGCTGTCCCCAATTCATAGTTTCATAGTTTCTAGGGTCGGAAGGGACCTGAGCAGATCATCTAGTCCAACCCCCTAACATGGCAGGAAGAGCACTGGGGTCAAACGACCCCAGTAAGGTGGTCATCCAACCTCCTCTTAAAAACCCCCAGGGTGGGAGCCTGCACCACCTCACTTGGAAGCTGGTTCCAGACTCTAGCCGCCCTGACCGTGAAGTAGCGCCTCCTGATGTCCAACTTAAACCTTCCCTCCGCCAGCTTGTGACCGTTGTTCCTGGTCACTCCTTGCGGCGCTTGGGGGAACAGGGACTCCCCCAGCGCCTGCTGATCCCCCCTAACCAGTTTATAACAGGCCACAAGATCCCCCCTCAGCCTTCTCTTTTGAAGGCTGAACAGGTTCTGGTCCTGCAACCTTTCCTCATAGGACCTACCCTGCTGTCCCTTGAGTGGCCCTCCTCTGGACCCTCTCGATGCTGTCCACATCCCTCTTAAAGTGCGGTGCCCAGAACTGGTCCACTTCCAGGTCTGCTGGGGAGTGAACGGAACCCCCCCCAGCTTGGCAATTGCCCACAGGGGGACCCCAGGTGCCCCCCCACACCCAGGAGGCACCAGTTGCTGAGCCAGGGTGGGGCAGAGGGGTGCGGGGGAGCCCCCCAGCATGCTCTCTGGTGCACCCAGAAGTGGACTGGAAGTGCTTCTAGTCCACTTCCAGGTCTGCTGCCAAGCACGCTGGGGAGCCCCCCCATGCTCCTGTGAGATGCTCCATCTGCCCCAGCATTGCAGCATTCACGAGCCACCTGCTACCTAGAGGTAGGGAGAAAAAACATTTAAAGCTGTGTCTATGTCCAGATCTCCAAATCTCTCCGAATCGATTCAGATGGTTCCAATTTGATTCAGAGAGATTAAAGGGTCCTCTGATTCAATTTAGATTTGGAGATTTGGCCACCGAATCAGGCCAAATCTCCACCAAATCAAATCAGGAACCGAAGCTTCACACAGCTGTAGTGCACAGATACCTCAGTCCATATCGTATTGGCACTGATAAAAGGAAAGTTGACATTATCAGCTTCTTTTGCCTGATGTGGCCAATAATGTGGCTGATAAATGCCGCATGTATACACACAGCCACAGCATGCAGATGGCAAGCCTGGCAGCTTGCAGCATCCAGCTGGTAAGTCTGTTGGCAGGGAAAGGTTAGGGGGAGGGCAAATCAAGGCCTCCCTGGTGAGGGAGAAGGGGAGCTGGGGATGGGGCAGGTGCTGCCCAGCCAGAGCAGAACGTGGGACAGAGCCATGAGCAGCTCATCTGGGTGGTGTGGGGAGGGAGGGGCAGATCCTGCCACCGCATGCACCCCCAGGAGAGGTATGGGGGGGGGGCACGTGTCCCCTGGGTTTGTGTGCGGAGTGAAGGTGGGCTGTCACTGCGGGCTGGGGCTGAGGGCAGTGCTGGCAGGCGGGGTGGGCAGTAGCAGTGTTGGGAAGAGGATATGGGGGGCCTATGGCAAATTCTGGAGTGGCTGTAGTCCACCCCACAACCCCCCTCCCAGCACCTCCATTGCCTGCCCAAGTGTAGCCCTGGCCCAGGCCCCCCCACCTGGAAGAGCCCGGTGCTACCTCTGGCCCCAGCCTGCAGCAGCAGCCCACCCTCACCCCGTGCACAGATCCGGGGGGGCACATGCTCCCCATGCCTCCCCTGGGGTTGTGCGCAGTGGCGGGAGCTGCCCTTCTCCCTCCCCACCCCCTCTGGACCAGCCACTTGCGGCTCCATCCCACACCCTGCCCTGCCCCAGCTGTGCAATGCCTGCCGCAGCCCCAATTCTCCTCTTCCCCCACTGCTGCAGCCTCAATCTTCTCCCTCATGCCCCTTCCCTCCCCCTGCCCCTTCCCCCCCAACAGACTTACCAGACTGCTCTCCAAGCTGTATATTGGCAATTGGATCAGTATCGGCCAAGATGGTTCGTTAATAATCTGCCATCAGTATCCCCCCAAAAAATCTTTATTGGTGCACCCCTAAATTAAAGACCTCACCAGTTTCCATATGAAAAGAGATACCCTCTGTATTTGGACAAAGCGTCTCAGGGCAGTGTTTTCTACCAACATTCCAGCATGGTTGAGCTGGTCACATTTTCTTCATTTCCTGATGTAAATTGTGTCATAGCATTT